AATTGAATGGGTTAGTGTTTAAATTATATGGTAATTAGTTGTTTGATTGAATGGGTTAGTGTTTAAATTATATGGTAATTAGTTGTTTGATTGAATGGGTTAGTGTTTAAATTATATTATTTGATACTGTTTTATATTATTTAGTGAGTTAAATGCTCCTAGGTGTGGATGAGTGCAGGTCTGGTTAAATTGGTAGTATCATAATCACACATTTTATCTAATCATCCACAATGACATTTGTCTTAATTTTAAATTTACGGTTTTTATGCTTTTAGAGTAACTCTAAGTGTTAACGTAACTTTTTTTAAAAACCTTTCAGTATGCTCGAGACATGTGTCAACAACTTGGTGTGAAGGGTTGGATCCGATTCTCCAGGTGGGGTACTGTGATTGGCCAAATTCAAGGCGAGAAAGACCGAGTTGATGAAATGTAAGTATCAAATTAATAGTTGTACCTTATCCCTAGCACTGAACATTCAGAATGTCCCTCGTAATAATACAAATCATGTTTTAATGCAACATTCACTTTCACGAGCGCTCTTGAATAAGCATGAATATTTATGACAATTTTAAAAATGACACGAAAATAAGAAATTGTTAATTACAAACTTTCGTACCTAAAACAAATTAGATAAGTTTAATATCTCAGAACTACGTTAGAGCTATGGACGGTTTTAAAGAAATTATATAAGTTTAATATCTCAGAACTACGTTAGAACTATGGACGGTTTTAAATAAATTAGGTAAGTTTAATATCTCAGAACTATGTTATAGCTGTGGACAATTTTAAAGAAATTAGGTAAGTTTAATATCTCAGATCTATGTCATAGCTATGGACGGTTTTAAATAAATTAGGTAAGTTTAATATCTCAGAACTATGTTATAGCTGTGGACAATTTTAAAGAAATTAGGTAAGTTTGATACCTCAGATCTATGTTATAGCTGTGGACGGTTTGAAAGAAATTTGGTACAACGGTGGACGGTTTTGGGCGATTCGTGAAAACAACAGAAAATAACTTTTATCCAGCTCAAAAACATTTATTTTCCAGTACGATCTGGTTTAACATGGATTTGTGAGTATAAGTAAAATAATGTATCATAGTTGAACAGATTTGTTTAAACATTTGTTTAACAACAAGTAAAAGCTTGGAATGGTTTATTCGCCCACAGACACCCCACCCCAATGAAAGAATAGACCCTTCTAAGCTTTTACTTGTTGTTAAAC